GACCATAGTGTTGTAAACATACGAATTAACCTATCGGATCCACATAAAACAAAGACCATAAAACGTATATAAATGGAATTAACGCACGCGTCTCGAATATGATGCCTGTTCTAGTGTCTAAGCTAGTCTGCGCTGGCAGAATACCACCTCGTAGGATCGCAACTTGGTAAAATCGCGCTGGAGTCCTGGAGATGTTTACAAACAGTTCACGTTTTAACGTAAACAAAAGCGGAGTTCACAAGAAGTGATGACGTCGTTTAAGATAAAGTGGCGACGTAATGTTACATATTTAGCAATATTTATATTTTGCAATATGACCTCCAGTTAACTCAGTCACAATCTGGAGTGTATTCACAAGAGTAATCCTACAAATTCTAGATCTCCAGACATAAATATAACATCATTTTAGCGTCACGTTGGTCAACCTGATCACTATAATATATATGAATATTTCAAACTACATAAAACATGTGAAACATTCATGTAATTACTGAACGGTAGTTAGATTGCAGTAACATAAATATGAGTGTTAATGAAGCGATTACGTTCAACGATGACGTCATGCCACATTTATTGTTGATGTAATGTGTTATTGCTTCGTGTACAAATTGGTACTACATACTGGAATTTTGATGTAAATATTCTAAAAAAGACAATAAGATCGTAAAACACGCGGGCAGACAGCCTTGCCATCTCATTACAAGAACACAGTATGTTTTTTTAATATCTCCCTTCACGTGGATATCTATTATTCAAATTGATGAATTCTCGGCATCGTCGTTCATATAAAATAACATGAATCAGCTGTTGACATGAGGAACGTTGATATTTCATCAACGATAGTTACTTCAAATGTAAACAAATCGATACCGAATGTTCTAATGAAATCCTGCATATAAATATACCATACTGCTGGTAATTTACGATAGGACTTAGAGCAACATGAAGGCGATCTATCTAAACCAAATGCTTTGCATTTAGAAAGTAAACAAATGAAAGACCATAATATACATGTATATGGGATGATTAACAAAGTTTTTGCAAAAGCCATCATTTATTTTATGGGATTTCAGCTACATGTATCATCCCCCACTATAGAGATGTCATGACATTAGCTAGCATCGGTTGGTTTAAGGGTTTTTTCGCTATGGGTGAAAATAAATGCAATCCTATACAGGTATGCAAGTTTCTGTATGTGGAGTGTATATGCTTATGTGTTGTTAACTATTCTTGTAAAAAATGCTTAAAAATAAAAGATTACAAAAAAGCAAAAATGTTTTTATTTTTCTTCTTTTTGATGTTCCCCAGTACCATGAATTTTGCATAGAACTTTTACCTTCGTCAAGACTTCGCGTTGTACATACTGTAGCCTGTTTGTACTGCCAGTTAATCTTTCAGCTCTACAAGTACAATGCAAAACCGTATAAGTTGCAAATTGCATAAATATAATGAAACGAGTCAATGCAGTTCGTGTTGAGTCAAGTCAGTACATATCAGGTCGTGGTTGTTTACGATTCTAACCAAGAACTAATTACCAGAAATCCTTGTGTATTTGTCACAATACCACGAACTGACGATTTATAACAACTGTGGTTTACGTCGCGTGTCACAACGTATAAGTCTTGAACTTTACAGTAAGGGTCTTACGAGTATGATTGATTGCGATCAGTGTCATTCCGTATAGATCAATCGGTTCCCTCATCTGGTTAAGTCCAATGCAGCGCCACAGTGGTATCAAGTAGATGCAATAACACTCTATTTGTGAGCTCGCTCCCTGACGCCAAAAAGTACGCGAAATAGTATATTGCACATCACGTGAGTATTGTAGTGTTCACTGCAGCAAATGTAAACGTCATCGTTTTAAGATTTCCTGTAATACCTTTCAGTGTGGCTATAGACTTAAAAAAAACATAATATGATGGCAAAGAGGACGATATGGCATAGTAAAATACTCAGCATCGGTCTATTATTTAGCGCGCGTGTTGCCATTTCGCAGGCTTGGTGGGATTTTTAGCCCTAGCAGGCATAGCACATGCCTTTTCGTGGCATTTCAGAGCTCGGAGGATCAAACGTGTAAAATTATATACGTTACAGATTGCACGCCGTGCGAGTGACAGTAATTTAATGATACACATCAACAGTTGGTTATTTGAAACAATGTATTAATTTTCAATTCAAGTGTAATATGGTAAATCACATAAAAATATCACAAAATCTAAATTACATTGACATGAAAAACACACTGCATTCAGTTTTCAGCCGAGTACAACTGTAAGCTCTCAGGAACTGGTCGAAACTTCTTTACATTTTACATGGTAAAATTATACATCATACCTGTAGCAGTAAAGTTTAGCAACCAAGACAAAGTAAATGTAACCAGTTCCTGTTGTGTACAACCGCAAAAACTGCCAAAAAATGTCAGATCTTTTTCTCCTCAGAAGTAATCAAATATATAAATAGATGTGAAAAAAAACAATTTCTTCAAACATTTGGAGTAAAACCTGAAAGAGAAATATTCCATGTACATGTAAGCTAATGTACGTAATAAAGTATACATTTCATAAAATTCTAAATGTATAATGGAAGAAAACAATTTGAAATGATGACTATATGGCAGTAAGCTGAAATAGAGGCGAGTTAGAGGGGGTGAAAACTGACTAAGGAGCGCCTATTGAGACAACCCTTAACTCTGCACTAGTATGTGTAAAAGATCTATGAAAACCGATGTGGGCAGTGATTTTAACTTTAGAATAAATTTTTCATCGTTGTTTCCATTCATATTACTGTCAATTACAGCGACCCATGTGATCAATACTTATAGACTGTTGTATCACAGTTGCCTTTCCAGAGAATGCTGACTGATGCATATACATGTATTGTATTATACTCAAAGTATGACACGAAACACGTGCACGCACACACACATACTACATTTAGGTATATATACACTCACGCTTAAAACAATGGGACAAATCTATAGCTGTCCAAAAAAGCTTTTTTTTCTTAGCTTCAGTGCAGATTTGAAGTACAATTTTATCTTGCATCCGATTTCTTTCTGTCAGAAGTGCATTATTTTAGGAAAGAGTACTTACGAGAGTTACCCTACTGACCTGCAGCATGTGGCCGACTACTGCTGTGGAGTGCTTTATTACACACACCAGGAGGCCGCTGTATCAACCCTCACATTTTACAGTCATGAATGATTCTGTAGATCTTACATACTGTGTAACCTGTGTAAACCGACCGTATTAAGATGTACATTAACCAGACCCCCCTCATTATATAATTAGGTCCTAAGTAAAGTATTTATAGAATCCGAGTTGCTTAGAACACGGCCACGCGGGAATTTTAATCAAATACATGTACATAATATAAACTTGAAAAACTGCCAATCGTCGATTATGGAAATACATTTACCGGAAATTGTAATTCACCAAGAATAATCCACATTTCCAATGATAGCAAGTTTAATAATTTCTGTCCATGAGGAAATACTAAACTGTAAAAATATATATTAACGTCTCTTGTTTCATCCGATCTCTACAGATCACGTTAAAACCATCCGATTCCTTCCAATGTGAAAATCCTACCACATTGTATCTCTTATTTAAATATTTACAAGATGAATCTAAAGCAGTGCTATCTGTTTACGGTAACAGTGAGTCTCGCGAGAAAGGATTTTTTTTATCCAATAGTGTTTGAAATATTAATATAGTTTAAAAAACGTGTATTCTAATGTTTGATATTTCTACAGTAAAATGGTTAATTTCCCTGTGCCATTTTTGGTCGATTTCCCCAAGTCATTCTACAGGACCGAAAGCACACACGCCATGATCACATCCGCTAGGATTGCATAAAAATAGGTCTTGTATATCGTCTGACATCATCATGCGTAAACAATTTGTCTGGATCACAAAGACTCTTTTAGCTACCATGTTGGCATTAGTTCAAGACATTCAATGATATCGTTTAAATGAACGAAATTTTGGCTTACATATTTTATACCGGTTTCGTTTTCATTCGTCTAGGAGCATCTTACGAGCTATGTTGTAAGTGTTGATATATAGTGCTCGGCCATCGTGACGGATGTGTATTCCGGTCCCACAGGCAGAATCAATTCTAGGAACATCGACATCAAAATGCTAGCGAATATACCTAAATTCGATAGATCAAGCTTCACAGCTAAAAAATGTACAAAAAAACCCAAACACTGACCTCCAGTGTCACAATCCCCCGGATCTACCAGATACGGAGTGCTTAATGGTAAATTGTGATGGTCATATTTAGGTAACTTTAGCTTAGTGAAATGTTTCGCGAATATCTATGTTTCAATAATGTAACTAATACATATGTCGTTTTAGTAAAGTGTGAAATAAAATACCAGAGAATGGGATCTTTGATCGAATGGTTAGGCGTTGTTTACACCAATTTTGAAGTAATATTAAACACCGGAAGGTGTTGTGAAATATCTGTTGGAAGTTTTACAGTCTATATGATATCTCAGTACAAAGTCAACGGGATTTTTATCTGGGATACAGCCACTGATCTATTTTATATAAAAACTGTTTTATAAAAATATTACTAGAGTTGAACACATATTGTAACCAGACTTAGAAATTATGGCGACAACGCTCACACATACAATTTGAACACACATGTGGACCTACATGATGACATGTATCCCGGAATCTCAATAACACGTGTACTTTTATGCATCACTCATTTTCAGTAAAGTTAACTGAACAATTCATCAATTTTGGCATAAAGACCCAAAATATATATTCGACAATAGTGCACGTTAGAGAAATTTGATTTAAAGTCAAAAACGTTTCCAGAAAAACGCCTGTGAACATTTGAGCAGTTACAATATTGTGGTATATTTATAAATGAGTGCATCAAGCTCTGGTTATATACAGTATGCTGCATCATCTGTCAGTGCGTCCGTATTGGACGCCAGTAGACAGACAAGAAGCTCTACGTAAGAATCTTAGTAAATGTACCTTTCTTCTCTTCTTGGATTTCTTAGGTTTATCTTCCCAATTTGGAGTAATGTCCTTTATGCTATGGAATACTTGATTATCGGAATCACGTGATCCTGAACGTGCAGAACGTCGCCTATTTCCGTTACTTTCCGACACCCGTCGATCAAAATCGACTATATCTTCTGATTCATCCGCTGAATCATCAAGTTTTTGGTAACGTTTTTGAACCAAACTATGCACAAAATCTGTTACGTCATCCTTTAACGAAGATGGCGTCTTAACTCCATTTTTTCGAGCTTCGTAAAACTCGTGGTGTGCTATGACGTCACTGTCTGAAGTATCACTTCCGTAACCGTATGATGAATCAATGGAATCGTCATGCATGTTCGTGGAACCGTAATCAGTCATGAAGGGTTCGCTTAGCCGTGAGTTGTAAGGCCTCCTTGAATTCTTATTACCATTATTGTCAGAACACTTCAATTCTACTCTGCGGAAACCTGTGTCGACTACCATGTTACTGGCGGTAGCGTCAGCTCGACGTTTAGAAGAAGAACTTGACGTCCATGAAACTTTGTTGTTCTCCTCGTCCCTATGGTCAAGCTTGAGATGGCCACTGTCTCGGTCATCATGAAGATGACCATTCAAATGTTTACTTGCATCCTCGTCTGTCTCGAATTTGGCGTAACTTCGCTTACGAATCAAACTAGAAATAAAGTTGAGATTGATCCCTGATGTTGACTCACGAATTTTTTTCCACATTTTTGCTGAATCTAGTTATTGTGTGTCAACTGGGAAAGTCGGACATCGATAACTCAGTCAACATACGGGTTTCCGGAATATCCTGAAATTAACACAACAATGATATATTACAAGTTTTATTTAAAATACATATGGTGTCATGTACCCAGAAACAGAAACTAACTTACCCAGCAAACGACCAATTTAAAGTAAGATAATTATATATATACCATTGGGTGATTTCGTGTTCGATATATATATACATACAGCTAATACCTACATATAGCCTATACATAGCTACAGGTACTCCCCGGTTTAAACCTTAATTATACGTTGCAGACCTGTCGATGGGAGCATTCAGAGCAAAGTCCACATATTACATGCATATATTTAAACATATGATAATTTATCTACGGTGCAGATATATCTGTAGATAATACACTCTCCCAAATTACAAATAACACGCACCGGTCAACGTACTGTGTTATCAGTACTCCAGTTATCCACTGCACCTGTATATATATTTAGCTTACCCCGAAATGGTTAGAACCTCGTCCTGGACACGATCGGAATATTGTCTCTGATACTCTTGGGGATCGACGACTGCAGTACGACAACGTTCATACTTATATGTATGCAATCATTGTTTAAGTACGCAGTAGCGATCTCCTAGCTCTTCCACCTGCAACTCCCCTGTCTTGTTTTGTTTACATACCGTATACGTACTTGGGCAATAGCGAGGTCGACAATAAACTTCGTAGATTTACGCCTTTGCCGCTTGCGACCCATTATGTTATACACCAGTGGTATTTACGACTGAATGAATAGGGTTAGGCTTCAACTAGAGTTCTTTTCTGCGCATGTCAAGACAAATCTTTTGTGTTCGGCTCAATGAATTGAATATGCCAAGCCGCCACTCTGTAGAATATGATAGGCAGTTATTAAACGTTGACGAGCAGAGCTCTGTGAGATGCATGAAAGCCGTGTTTAAATGTTCCGACAGTTAGTGACAAATGAAATTAATTACATTTCCTGAAATAGAGCGCAATTCAATAGCAGATAATTGAAGCGTTCTTTAATTAATAATCCTTCCATGCATACTCTATTGTAGAACCTATTTTTAAGATTATAGTTTCCGTCAGACTGTGTTAATTAATGGTATTGTTTATCCACGAGCTTTGAATCAATCTTTAAGCTGTACAAATAACATTATAATAAAATATGTCATTTTATATAAATCTCTTTCTAAGAACACACAGAACAATTAGACAAAATACACCCAGTGACAGTGTGTAACAAGCTACAATTACGTATCTATGTGATTAACTAGAACGCATGTACAATATCTTTTTTTAATTCATTTACAAATATAACAGAGTCACTAATCGCTAATTATACGTAATTTATAAAATGTTTGCTGATGTATGTCACATTCCTGGAGCCTTTCCTTGTATGCATTGCTTATGCCTAATGACTAACGACGTCGACCTGTGTTGGATTCCTGATGAATATATATATATATATATATATTCATCCTCTACCCCAGTCAACAGGACGAAAACCTCTATCGAGTCTGGACTTCGTGAACATGGCTCGATCGACTTACTTTACAATATATTTTCTACCACCTTTCCCGCCTTACCAGATTCTGTTATGTTCACTGTTTACTGACGGAACCGAGGAAAATTTCCCTCTAACATCGTGTTCTTTCGAACAAATACCTTATAGAAATTCATCGCGTTCTGTCATGTCCAATATCAGCGGTTCAAAAGGGAAAAAATGAAACTTCTTCAGAGTGCTATGGTCACAGAAATTTCATCATGTTTCGCATCATATTCGTCTTTTGTTCCCCTAAGATTATCCATACGATAAAGATTTCCCATGCAAACATCAAAATATCTTGGACAAGGTAGAGATTCCGAGGGTTGCGGGGTCAAGGTCAAGGCCTCTTAATATTTTTAGAAAAAGATTGTCAGCGCTCTATGCGCTTCATTCCTTAAAAGGATTCCTTTCCGACTTCATACAATTTTAAAGTACTATAATGGCCTGAACAAGTTCAAGTCTCTAGGTTCTTGATTCAAGGTCAAGGCCACCATTCCTGTATTTTGAAAATCGTTACCAGCGCTCTAGCAGGTTTATTCTTTACACGTTTTTGATCAAGCCTCACAGACTAAAAAAATTATCACAACATATCATTACACATTGGAGTTACAAATGTTTGCCAGTTTGTCACACATGCCTTGCTCTATTTAAATTAGTTACAAACTAATTGCACACTTTTCTTCTTTTCAAATTAAAGTGTACCTGGAAGTTTTTTCTACATTTAGCTATGAAATACTTAAAATTATTGATAAAAGGCCAAGATAGTGTAAACTTCGTGTTCTGTTTCCCAGTTATTGTGATTTATGTGAAAAGCATACCTTAAACTCGGTGACAATCGGTTGATATGGGTAGCCCACATCTGTAAAGTCACCAGTTGAACGCTGTCGTGTGTACGATATGCGAACTTTTTTGTTACATCTGTGATATATTCGGTTGTCACTTGATTCTGTAAGTTATCTTTAAAGAGCTACATACATATAGAAATTACTTTTTACAATTCCAAACATGAAATTACTAATGATTTCATTTTAAGTAGGCAAGCTGTATGCGGGTGTCTGAACACACGGATGCTATCTAAATTAATCTGTGTTTCAAAATATCGTGAATCTAGTGATTGTGAATTTACATTTTGTCATCTAATTGGTCAACACAAACCTACAACCGATTAAAATTTAGTTAAATTAATGAAAGCACGCCCGTCACTTTGTCTTTTCTTTACATAGTTGGAGAGACATTATTTGAACAAATCATCACACCCATATAAAAAATAGAAAAAAATTGTTGAAAACCCAACACCGGGAGTAAAGGGTACAATTTTCGTTACAAGTTCAACGCCGACTGGAAGCAGCCACCATGAAGCATTCTGACCTCGCAGAGTTACTGCCCTTTATTGTGCTCTGTCGGTACAGATGGTATAGTGATAAGCTCGACGGTCGATGGGACCGAAAATGTCAGGAGGGAATTAGGCGAGATTGAGAACAGCCATGCTATGTAATGTCAGATAGCAAATGGATGTTTAATAGTTTTGAGAAATTAGATAATTCTAACGATAAAACTATCTTGACGGTAAAAAGCCGTATAAAAATTGCTTGGAGTGATGAATTTAAATATATATATTGTCAACCTTAGAACAAGGAAGCGGAGGCACCGATTATCATGCATTTACATATGTGAAAACAGTTAATGTCATGGAACATACAGCTATCTACAATAATTAATATTATCATAATCAAAATTTGTTGCTAGACTTAATGAAAGACTGCACATGTCTGAATATATTCGAATCGAGGGCTACAGTAGGATAAGGATTTCTGATTAAAATTGTATCCATGATTTTATTAACAGTACTTATGTATTAGATGCTTAATTCTATTATGGACTTTGAAAAAAATATTTCCATAATTATAGTTTTCTCAAAATATAAACGAATTCCATGTTTACCATATACATGCAATATTGACAAGTTGTGATTTGCATCTCGGTTCATTAGTTAAATCGTTTCGGTCAAATCACGTGGTCTACTTCGGTGTGAAATATGTGTATAGGTAAATAACATTAAACTCTTGTGTCACGACAACGGCTCCTCTCGAAAACTTTAAACTTTATTTACAACAATTGCGAAACAAGTTATTTCAACTTATACTAGTCACTCTTATTGGTCCGGATGAAAACCCATGCGGTCGGGTAGATGATTCTTACCTTTTCACGTCCGAGTACGTTACCACTGCGCCACCCGATCTTCCGTGTTCGGGTATCGTCTTATCGACGAACGTCGGTCTTCTTTATACCCGTTTCAAGGTGTGATCAAAGGTATATCAGCAAGTGGGTAAGGGGAGGTAACTGGACTTGAAGTCAGTTGGCGGATGATCCCTTCGATTTTTCCCTTTTTATAGCAATGTCCGAGGAAATGTATTAGGACCAATTCCAGGAAAAATATCAAGTAAAATGCGCGAGTATGATCAGATAGTTCATTAATGCATTATTTATCTTTGTGAAATTTGAACGCTGGTTTTTTTGCATAGTATGATGATAACAGAAGAATCTCCTTCCCATAATTCTCATTAACACAACGGTTCGAAACCCGAGTCTACTCTCACAAATACTGAATACTTATTCACATTGCTTTCGGCTTTTGTACCTGCAGATGGAAATACACGTGTTGGTGTTCTTATGGTATACAGTTTTTTGTTTTTTGCGTATTTGTTCCAATTATTACAGCCACGGACTACGAAGATATATTTGCGATATATCTAAGTGTAGGTTAAAGTATCTCCAAATGTGTTGAAACGGGCAAATGAAATCAAATATTTCAATTGCCGACCTAACATAAGAAATGCACAACAATGACAACTTGTCATTACGATATAGATATTATATGTCATACATATTACCATTTATAAACATATAACAGCAGACAACAAAGTTACTTTGTAAAAAAAACTTTTCACTGATTCAGTTGTGTTTAATGGACCGTAGTGGTAACATGACGTATAACTTGGGAATATATAAACTGTAACACGAAATTCATCATTAGTGCGCAGTTCTGTTTGAAGATCTTAGCACCAAACTCGAGGAAGATGTTGTCAACCGGAAACTCAGTCATTTCTATGATTTTGTCCTCCGTATATTCCTTCTTTGATTTGGACGTATCTTTATTTATTTTGAAATATGCTTGTATTTATACCACTGTTCACCTTTCTTGGAAAAGAAAACTCTCTTAACAAGAGAACGAAGGCATTCTTTCGGTTTAGAATGGGGTATGGTGATGTACAGGGTGGAAAAATTAAATATTCTAATAGAATAATTTGTTTCAGAAGTGTTAAAGATTGGTCAAAAGCTCTGGAGTTATTTAAAATCCACAGTCAGAACCGAATACCGAAGCATATTAGCCAGCATTTCGTCTTTGGGAAGATTGGAAAATTTGTTCCGAAAAAAAAATCAATCGGGAATAAATATTCACATGTCTTGTCTTGAAAATCTTTATACGATTGGTTATAAACAGTTCGTGTGGTGATACTTTGGGTGACTAGATAAATACGTATACACGTAGAACACAAAAACGAATTGATAACAAATTAATTTAATGAGAGCAACATTAATATTATACATGCTACATGGTATGATGGAATCATGGTGACATTTTTTTCCACAAATATAAAGTTATAGATAAAACATTGAAAACGTCCACATATTTGTCTCTTAAATTGCACATGGGGAGGCCATGATTGACTTGAATATCTAGAGGGAAATAACAGGTAATATTGGAACTCTTTTTCTATAAAATCTGCAAATATGGCATTGTATCGTAGATATGCTAATCGCTAATTGACCGTTAATTTCACTTCTCTTTCATCGTAATATGTGGAGAAAACGATAGGTATTATATATGGTAAAACAGTACTTATGGAGATTACATCATAAAATGATATTGTAAACAAAAGTTCCGAAAGGAAGCATGTTATATTCCATAGTGAACCATAGTGAATAACTATTTACATGTATTGTTCGGAGACGAAATTGCTCAACATTGGAAAAGCAATTGAATTTGTAAAGTAAACTATTCAAAAGTAAAAAAATCTTGTTCAATTCAATAACCATTTTATGAATACACCAGTAGATTAAACCCGT